AGAATATATGGTTTTATTGTTTATATCTTATTATGAATAATAGAGTTACTTTGTCCCTTCATATTCTAGGACCAATTTCTGAATATCTAATTTGTTTTAAAAACTTGATTTGAATATCTTTGTATTTAACTGCTCATGATTATATTTTCTCTTATAACCATAAGAATGAATTTATTGGGTCATTTCTCAGTGGAACACATTTTATTTTCTGTATTGCCTAAACTTTTCAAATCTATTCCAAATCAGAAGTCAAGTTATTGTTATGACTTTTTTGTGAAAAGTTTTTCATATCCTCTGTACTTGTTACAGCAGTTCGTCCAACACTCTCCTATAGCACTTATTGTATTACATTATAATGATGTTTTCTCCACTAGATTGAGGACCCTTAGAATGACAGAAAATGTTATTTAGGTTTGCATTCCCAGGGATTAGCATAGTGCTGAAAGTGAGTAGGTGTCATTTAATGAATGAAACAAGTAATGGACCAAGGGAAAATACAAATTGCAATGTCTAAGCTATATATCTCAAGTTCTGACCTCAGCTATCATTCTGAAATTAAGAAATTCTCTTTAAATTTCAGTAATAAATGTTATTAAACAGTTAATCAAAAAGAGTAATACAAAAGAAAAACAAAAGAAACTTGACAGTTAAGCTGAAATTGGTACTTTTAACAAATTTTTATTGAATACCAAATACATGTAAGGCCATGTAAGGTACCTATACATATAGTTATAAGAAATAGTAAGAAGTTACTGAGGATATAATTTACTGTATCTCACAGTATCCTCTCTGAATAACACCCCCAAAAAGAGTTGTACTTCTAAGCAGCTGGCCAGTTGAACATAGAACGGATTCCCTTTTTGCATAGGATGCTGGGAAGCTCCATGTCAACCTCATGGCCCATTTCTGTGTTAAGAGCTTTATGCCACATGTTTTGTTTTTCCTTTCTTTATTCTCTCTTCCTCCAAATTCTGTAATTTTTTTTCAGTGACAAATGAGAAGTTCTTTTTTGCTGAAGTATAGTTGACATAATAGTTTCAGGTGTACAACATAATGATGTGACATTTCTATACATTACAAAATGCTCATAATGATAGGTATAGTTCTTATCTGTTACCATACCAGGTTATTGCAATATTATTGACAATATTTCCCATGCCATACTTTTCATCCCTGTGACTTATTTCATAACTGTAAGTTTATAACTCTTGATCCCCTGCACCTATTTTGCCTATTCTCCCCACCTCCTTCCACTGGCAACCACCAGTTTGTTCTCTATGAGTCTGTTTCTGGGTGTGTGTTTGTTTTATTTTTAGATGCCATATGTAAGTGAAATCTTATGGTATTTGTTTTCTCTGACTTATTTAGCATAATACCCTTTAGGTCCATTTATGTTATTGCAAATGGTGAGATTTCATTCTTTTTATGGATGAGTAATATTCCATCGTGTGTATGTATATATATACATTTATGTAATGTGTATATGTGTGTGTATATATACACACACACACACACACCATGTTTCTGTATCCATTTACCTATTGGTGTACACTTAGGTTGCTTCCGTATCTTGGCTATTGTAAATACTGTGATAAACATAGGAGTACATATCTTTTTGCATTAGTATTTTCAGGTAAATATACAGAAGTAGAAGTACTGGGTCATATGGTACTTCTCTTTTTAGTATTTTGAGGAACCCTCATACTGTTCCTTCATACTGGCTGGACTAGTTTATATTCTCAGTAATAGTGCACAAGGGCTCCTTTTTCTCCACATCCTTGCCAGCATTTGTTCTTTCTTGTCTTTTTGATAGTAGCCATTTTGACTGGTGTGAGATGGTATATCATAGTGGTTTTGATTTGCATTTCCCTGATAATTAGCAATGGTGGAGCATCTTTTCATGTGTCTGTCAACCATCTGTATGTTGTCTTTGGGAAAATGTCTATGTAGGTGCTCTACTCATTTTATTTTATTTTATTTTTATTAAGGTATCATTGATATACACCCTTATGAAGGTTTCACATGAAAAACATTGTGGTTACTACATTCACCCATATTATCAAGTCCCCCCAATACCCCACTGAAGTTACCATGTATCAGTAATTTTTAATGTTACACTGAATATGTTGTTTTATGCAGTCTTGAATTATTTTGGCAACAATGCAGGGCTTAAATTAAAAAGCTTTATGACTCATTATATCTCTATTTACATTTTCTACCTGTCATTTGCAGGGTGCTATAAAGAAAAAGCCATGGGGTTATTGTTAAAAACAAAATCCAAAGCAAAAAACACCTTGAATTGACTCTTAACTCAGCCATTTACTTAGTGATGACTGGAGGGTTAGAAGTCAGAAAGATCTGTGTTCATTTCCTGACTTCTGCCACTTAAAAGTGTATGATCCTGGCTAAGACATTAAAATTGCTTTGACCTACCAACTGGCACAACACCTAAAAAATTGAAAATTTCCATAAAGGAAACAAATGCTTGAAAGTCATCACAAATGAGTGCTCAAACTCAGTGCAAATTACTCAGAACCTGAAAAGGATTTTTAGAAAAGCTGGGAATTAGTCCTCTTAAAGCTCCTTCAAGATTTTCCAGCATCATGGACTTCAGGAGTGGAGAGGGAAAGAACACAGGATGTCTTCATCCTGCATTGGCACAGGTCCTCTGCTGGTGATGGTGAGGTATGATGCCATGGCACCTTCAAAGTACAGACAGCACTCATCAATGCAGCCAGTGCAAAACTGAGGCACTACTTTCTAACTGAATTTACCATTAATTCGTTAAATTTGTGTTCCTTTACATTTCAGGTGCTATAATAAGAACTTGAGATACAAAGAGCTACAGAACATAGTCCCTACCTTCAAGCGTCCAAAATCTAGTGGAGGAAAGAAATAAGCTAACTTGGAGTAAATAAAACCAAACTTTTGGCCTCAGGTTATTGTTATAAATAAGCAAAAGTTAATATAAAATAAATTATAAACAGGAGCACTGTACTACAACTAGCCTTCCTTGTGTAAAATCTAACATTACTATAATTCTAGGTTCTGATTTACTTAAAAGCCATTCCAACCAGCAACCATAATTTAAAACCTTACTTCTCCTGAGATTTGGGAAATGCCCAAACAACAGGTTTTTAGACTGGGACATTCTTTTGAAAATTTAAGGATCCTGACTTGTTTATTCATGGAACAGAGGTAAAGCTTTTATTTTTACAAAACAGGTGAGAGTGTAAGGTCTTATTAAGCAGTAATATGCTATCAAAAGTTACTTTCTTTTAATAAGAGGAGAGATTGCATTGAAACAGGACTTCAGTTCAACCAATCCTGCCTGGGCAAAGCTGCATATAATAAAAGACAGCATGGTACTTCAAGCTGACCAAAGTACAGCCTACGGGGAGATGAGTACCTTCTTGATTCTAATACTTTTATTTTCTTCCTTATAGTACTTTTGGCGACTATATATCAAGACTTAGAGGCATCAACACATTTTTTTTCAAGTCAGAATTCGTCTAGCAAAATATTATAGGACAAAGAATAAGAAAGTTACATACTATATCAGTTCATATTAAGGAACTCAAAATACAGGCCTACTTTACAAGCAGGAAAAAGAGCCATAAGAACCACCACTTCTTATCTAAACTTGTTATACCCAACTAACTGACCTCACTGACTTCCTCCATCAAGCTTACAATATGCAGGTGATCTGGTTGCTTATTGCTGTGCTTTATGCAAAGTACATTATGGCTGGTCTTTTCTGTCCCTTTTATTTCTAAAATGCTCATCCATGAAATTCTGCAGGTGAAAGGTACAATCCAAATATCAAGTTGAGTAAGAACAATGAAAGCATGTTCTGTTTGTACAGATAAAATTAAATAACATCCCATAAATCTAAACAAGTTTTCATCTTTCAAGTGACTAGCCAGTTTGCAGAGGTACCTATTTTCTAAGAAACACAATAATTACTAACTCCTTGGAACCAACTACTAATACGTTGTTTTGAGACATCCTTAGAAAGCTTGAATGGCCTACCCGTCCTTAAATTATTAGAAGAGAACTGGGATAAGAATCAAAGGTAGGAAGGACATGATCATGGAAAAAAGGAGCTGAATCTAGAGTTAGCAGAGACGGAAGTATCAAAGCTGGAGGGACAGGGGATCTGGGGCTGGGAGTCCTAAGCGGGTTGAGAACGACAGGCAAGGAGGTTGGGGGAAAAGCACTACCTTTTCCTGCAGACCTGCGGGTTGAAATAAAGGTGTGTGGGAGGTAAGCATGGGATCCGGCATCGGCAGAATGTATGGTCCGAGACTTAAGACACTGGACTGAGGAAAGTGTGCTGGGGGCTGCAAGAAATCTGGGGCCTGATAAGGGAGTTCTGGGCTGCAGGCCGAGGAAACGGGGAGGCTACAGCGGGATTAGGCTGGGAACCAGAAGTGGAGTGGGGGGAGGATTTGTGCTAAAATGTAACCTGAGTCCTGGGTGAGGAGCCGGCGCGTGGATCCCGCGCGAGGCTGTGCTCAAGAACTGGGGAGGAGCCATACGAAAGGAGACGCTGAAGTGCAGGTTGGGGTGAGGGAGGGATGCAGAGACTTTAGAGGTGTTGGGAGGGGCTGACATGGGGTGAGGGAGGCGGCTGTAGAAACGGACGCTGAGAAATGAGTGGCAACTGAAGAGGAGGTGTAGAATATGGGCTGTGAGCTGCGGATGAACACCGAGGGAAGCGAGAGGCAGAGCCGAGTATGAGGCCAGGCAGAGGCCGCAGCAGGGTGAGGGACGAGAGGCGGGCAGCCGGGGAGAAGCGGCATCAGGCGCACGTCCCACCGTACCAGGCTGCGCAGATCGTCCTCCTGAGACTGGACCGTGAGCGCGGCGGTCCCGGTCAGCACCCGGCGAGCGAAGTCCACGCTGCAGCGCAAGTGCAGGTGCTTGGTCCGGCAGACGGAAGCCGGAGAGGCCAAGGAGCACGTATCCACAACCTCAGGCATGGCTCTGGGGAATCCCGCAGCTCGCCGACCAGGACGCCGACACTCAGCAGCCAGACGACCCAACTGAGCGCCCGCGGGGGACGGAGGGAAGTAAAGAAGAGAAGGGGGTTCGCGGTGCCCTTCGGGAAAGTAAGTTTCTTAGACTCAGAGAAGCGCGGGGTACGGCGTGCATGGAACTCCAAGTTCCGCGATGCAGAGCGACGCGCGCTTTGCTCCCTGGGAATGTGTGTGTCGGGCGGTGCGGAGAGCGCCGAGGTTAACCCCTGAAGTGAGGAGGAGGAGGAGAAGAGTGGGACACTTAGAGGAAAGGGGGGCTGACAGAAATGGTGTGAAGTGCGATGGGGAAATCAAACGCAACGGTTCGGTGTTAGTTCCATTCAACTTCAGTAGGAACTGCAGTATTAATCTCAAGCTTATAAGTGATAATTGCGAGGGCGGGACAGGACAAAATGGGGTAAGAGGCCTATTAGAAAACAGACTAACATGCAGTTCCTCGTTAGTATAGTGGTGAGTATCCCCGCCTGTCACGCGGGAGACCGGGGTTCGATTCCCCGACGGGGAGAAGCATAAATACCTTTTCTTGCGATACTCGAAAAAAGAATGATCCGAAAAAAGAATGATCCCACAAGGATTTTCAAGACGCTTTTTTCCAGTGTCAAGAAAGCTGGAAGGTTCACGTTTTAAGAACTCTATTGTTGCTGGCTTGTCATGTTGGCAATTCAGTACAAGTGACCTAGCTTCTGATAGTTAAGTGAGAATGTCTTTAGCGTTTATTATGCAGATATTCAGGCACTGGAGATCTAAAACGGAGTAAGATGACATCCCGCTTTTAGAAACTTAGGAAGATAACTTCTATATACTGTATTGAAAGAACTCTGTTATAAAGAGTAGGTGCTGCCCGCAAAACTGCAATGCAGAGCCAGGACATCTAGCTCAGCTCTGGGGCTCTTCCCGAGAAGGTGAGGAAGGACTGAAGGGGATGACCAGCCTTTAGGATGGGACCTCTGAGTTGAAACTGGAAAAATTGGAAGAGGATGGGTCTCAAAGGACGTTAAACAGCTGTGCCTTTAATCCTGAGTGTATGGATGGGGGAACCCATTGAAAAATTTCAAGCAGGGTTGACATAGTCTGATTCCTTATCAAGAGAACACTGGTATTATTCAGAGAATGGATGTGAGGTATGAAAACCAGAGGCAGGAGAGTTAGGAAACTAATAAAATAGTCCAGGAAGAAGAGGCTGGGAGACTGACATAGGTAAGTATAAGTAAGAATAGAGAAAGGAAGGAGTGAATACTTAGGAGATAAGTGGATTCACAGATTCAGAAGGAATCTAAGGTGATTCTCAGATTTTGGTCTTCCGTGGTCGAGTAATCATTAACCAGAGACAGAGACCATATGAAGAGGACAGACTTAGGCGGGGAGATCCAAGTTTAATTTTGAACATGCGGAGTTGGAGAGTGTATGGGAGCCACAGTGGTGATGTCTGTGAGTCACTTGGATATTTAAGTCCATAGCTCATAATAAAATACAACATCCCTAACTATGAAATCCAAGGTATGAGAACAGCACATAATGTGGTGGGTGAAATTGTAACAGTCAGTGAGCTCAGCCCAAAGACAGTGTGTAAAGAGAAGAGCATTGAAAACAGGGTGGAAGCTGGGAGAACACCAGAATTCAATAAAAAATGGCTACAGGATGGGGGAGGTAGGATCCTTTCACAATGAATACATCTATCAAATCACCATAATGTATACTTTAACTTTCTTACAATTTTATTTGTTAATTATACTTCAATAAAGCTGAAATTCTTTTAAAAAATGGAGGGGGGCTAGAGTAAGAGGAACTCATGAAATAAACTAGAAAGAGCCAACCAGCAATGTCAAATGTAGCCTAGAGGACCATTAAAATAAGGAGTAAAAAGACTCCTTTGGATCTGGTAATTGGAGAGGGAGAAGGGAGGATGGTGGTTTTGTTGACTTGTGGTTTAGTTGAAGGTGGATGCCCGAGAGCAGTGGATTGGGAAGTAGAAGAGGGGATGTAGAAGACAGGCTTCTCTATCAAGGCATTTGGCCAATGTGAGAAGGTAAGATAAAAGTAGAATAGCAAAGAATGTGGCATTGAGAAAGTGATCTCTTATTTTTTACAAAGTGACTTTAACATGTTTACATATAGAGGTGAAAGGGTTTCTAGAGAAGAAGAAATTGAAGATTTAAGAAGTGTGGGGAATGGTTGATGAACTGAGTACTCGAAAGTGATGCACAGATTCATTCTACATCAGTAGGATCTAACAATTAAATTTGGCTCCAGCAACAGATAAAGATGCTCTGCTTTTGTGTATTCTTGTGTTAGCCCCTGCAAGCCAAAGGAAAACAAAACAAAACACCCCTAACTATGAAGTCTAATACCTTTAATGTGCATAAATCTTAATTTCAAGGGGCCTAAGAAGCCATGATATGATTGACATTTGCAAACATATTTTGAGGCCTCAGAGTATTCCGGGTGTTACTAAATCTAGAGTGACAAATATGATGCTATAAAATTGATTCAGTCAAAGAATACACAAATGATCTTCCTTATGGAGAAAGGATTGTTTGTCTTAAAAGAATGTCAATATTATCAATCTTCCATTATTCATTCTCAGGAACCCACAGAGTTTATGCCACTGTGTTCAAGAAGAGACTCAGAGATAATAGCAAATGAATTCCTCAAATTGCTGAATAGATTAATCAAAAGATACATATAGAGTAGGAATTGTTTTTTAAGAGAACACTGCCCACCAAATACACAGTGTATAAAATCAGCAATTCACAAACAATAGGAGTGTTATTCATACCCAGTGGTGGATCAGAAATAGTTTTACCAATGAAGCTTTCTATTGCTTCTATAAAATAGGGGTTATATATATATCAGTGTTTATATATGAAAAGAGACTCTATTAAGGATGAAAAAGATGATTTACATAAAGCTTTATTAAAAAGAATAGTACATTTATTTACAAAGCCATATGAGTAGGAAGTATTCCAGCTCTACCACTTACCTGGAAGAGATATTTCATTCCTCTAAGGCTCAATCCCCTCAGGAAAATTGAGGTATCTGTGCTTCATGGGGTTGTTGAAAGGATGAAATGAGTTAATATATGTGGACTATGCTTGGCATAAAGTGACCATTCATTACATGTTAACAGGTATTATTTCTGTTGGTTTTTATTTTGGCTATTTTGACAATTTTAATACTTATTTTTCCTTGTTTTGTTAGCAAGAGCTTTTAGGAAAACTTGAGAAAAGAGAAGCAACCAAGATTGGGAAAGCAGATGATGCTAACTTAGACCTCTAAAAAGAGTTGGCAATATTAGTAATGCTCCTATCTTTTTGAAATACATTTACATTGAGGAAAGTTAGGAAATTGTAATTGGTGCATTAAAACTTTCTTTGAAAGGATGTAAAGACTTCTCCTTGTTTTTCCCCCTGACTTCACATAGACCTCTCCTTTCTTTAAGTAGTCAATGCAATTTGCAGATACTTAGTAAGTGCATTCTAGATCCAGGACCCGCAGCATTAGGCAGTCTCCTCAAAGCCTCCTCAGAAATGCAGATCTCAGGCCTCACCCCTGGCCTACTAGATCAGAATCTGCATCTTAACAAGGTACCCCAAGTGATCATGTGCCTATTAACCCACTGCCTTCGAGACTCAAAGGATAATTTGGGGGCTGGTGGAAATTCAGTTTAAGAGTTAATAAAAAATGTCAGGACTCCTTCTCTTGGAGTCACGGCCTCAAACCCTTAAATCAGTACTCCCTTAATAGCCTAATGTCACTCCCAACACAGCACCTGCCACACTGCATAAATGTCAGTGTATTTGGTGGTCTCTCTGAGTAGATGGAATGTCCTTAAGTCCCAGACAGTATTTTTCCCTGTACAAGCGTGTGTGTTGAATGGACGAACAAATGTGTAAATGAATGAATGAAATTTTATATGAGGTTCTAGGCATCCTTTTATTAAATATTTTACTCTGTGTTGACTTTGAGGCAAAGAGAAAGCTCACTTCTGAGCCCTTCCTTGTCCTCTGATGTCACCAGGCACTATGTTTGCTTGCAACAGAGAATGTCCTTACCACCCTCTTACTAACCAATAAACACTTTTAAAACATTTTATTGAAGCATTCCTAATAGTGCAAATATCATAAGCATATATGGCTCACTAAACTATAAGTTGAACACACCAGTGTAGTTAGCACCTGGATTAGATAGGAACGTTACCACTTTCCCACTAGATGCCCCCTCAAATACCCTTCCAATCTCTAAAAATCTTGCTCCCCAGGGGTAACCACTGCCTGACTTCCAGTAACATATTACTTCTACCTGTTCTGCAATTTATATTTCCTTTATGTAAATGGAAACATCCAATATCTCATGCCTGGCTTCTTCAGCTCATTCTGTTTGTGAGAGTCCTCCATATTGTTGTGTGTAGTTCCAGGTTGTGCATTCTCATTGCTGTGTGGCAGTACATATGTAGGTAGATCACAATATGTATACCCATTCTATTGTGGATGGACATTAGGGTAATTTTCAGTTCTGAGTTGTTATGCTATGGACATTCTAGAATTTTGTCTTCTAGTGAACATATCATAGCCAGGTTTTGATGTGTTGGTTTAAAGCTTGGACAGCTTAACTCATGCCAGGTTTCATACCTTTGGGACTGCTTACACAAAGCCAAAAATCATTCATTGCAACAACTGAGGTTTCATAATTATGAATACAAGCCCAACAAACCCCCAGCTTGGGTACAGGAAGGTGAATCAAGCAGGGTGGGAAGCTATTTTCAAGTTCAGAAAAAATTATTGGTAACTGCTGGTCTAGATCACACTTTATTTCCTCTCAGGCGCTCTTTCTGTTTCCTAGGTGTACCTCATTGTAAGAGTCCACTGTACCAGTTTGGTGATTTTTTGACTCAGAAATTACAGCTCTACTTCCATTTTTGCTACCGAGTAGCCAGAGGTGTTTCATCAAAACAGGTATTTACACCTTTTGTTCTGATGTTTAAAGCATGAGTGGAGTTTGACAAGTGTCTGCAGGGTTTTGTTTTCAAACGCAGTAGTTCTGTCTCAGACTGCTCTGCTCTGGCCACAGTTTCTCTTGTTCGCCAACAGAGCAGATTATTGCTGCTTACTTGTGAAATGTGTCTTCAGCCAAGACTAGCCTAAAGGCTTTCTTCTAAACCTTCTTCCCATCTGTAGATCTGTGTTTGAAGAACTTACTAATGTTTTGTCATTTCTTTTAAAAAGCCTCTCTTACTGGGTCTTGAGAGTTCAGCAAACTCATGTAAGAGATTAACACAGTTGACTCACTCTTCACCTTCTCCCTCAGATGTGTCTCAATATTTCTCAAGCCAAGTCACTCACTTCCACATACCTCCTCACCTGGCCTCACCTCCTGTTTCTGAGCTGCTTCCTCTTGGCTCCAGCTCAGGGCTCTCTCCAGGAAGGCTCTGCTTCCTTTTTCACAGACACACCTCACCATGCTCAACTTTACTCATCCAGGTCACCATGCTGGAAGGCCCTGTCTGCCTATTTGTTCACTGGCCCCATTCTCCGTAAAATATTGCCCAGTAAGTGTTCCTGTCTTGGTCCTTAATTTTTCTGAATGGGAACTTTACACACACACACACACACACACACACACACACACACACACATGTCTGCTCAATAAAACTTGTTACCCCCAAATCAATACCTTTTGTGGTCATTTGGGAACACATGAAAGCTGTGAAAATTTTAAATTGCTGAGGCTCACATTCCCAGCCTGGGTCAAAAAAGGCAAGCTCTGCTTCTTCTTGTTTCTGCTTCTTATACTGTAAACAGGTGTCCTTTGTGTGGTCTTGAGTGTCATGTATTTCACATTTTTATACTTTTCATTTGGTGATTTTGCTGTTTAAAATGTCTTCTAAGCAAATGCTGAAGTATTTTCTAGTGTCCCTAAGTGCAGGAAGGCTATGATGTGCCTCCTGAAGAACATGTATGTGTTAGAATAAGCTTGATCCAGGCATGAGTCAGGGTGCTGTTGGCTGTGAGTTGATGCTAATGAATCACCTGCATATTAAATAAGGCGTCTTTAGACAGAAATACATATAAAACAAGGTTACATATTGATTTGTTGATGAAAATACTGTAACCAGAGGTTGTATTTCTACTGAGAGCAACGGTTCAGGATTCATTAATTCAGTGTTCATTGTGACTTGACATATATAATCACTGCAAAAAAGGAGAATCAACTGTGAATATTTCTTGACCTTATAAGTGTTTCTTCAACCTCTCTCTCTGTCCCCAAAGGAGTTAAGGTGGCCAGCTTCTTCAAGGCATACTTTATGTTTCCCTTGACTCTCTCTCAGCACCCAACCCGGTACAAACAACGCAGTAGGTCCTCAGGATGTGTGAAGGGCATCAGAGAAGGGACGCGAGGGAGAAAGGAAGCCACAGAGGAAGGAAAGATGTTGGTGAGAGACAACATAGCATGGAAGCTGAGGTTGCTGCTTTGTTAAAGAGAGTTTGGATTCCCAGAATTTCTCAATCTCGCAGTCCTCAAATGCTTCCTCTTTATTTCTGAGAGGAATCATTAAAGTAGAATAATATAAAATTAGAAATTAAGTCACATTTTGTGATAGATTTGGCTTTTAGTTCTGCTCTTTATGGAATCCGGTCAAGCAAATCTTCCAGATTCCTTTGAGTTGTTCTATTTTCCCCTCTCTTTCCTTCCCCAACTATCCCTACATTGGGATGGAGTGGGATAACTCTGGAACTCCCCAACTCTAGGCCAAAAGGAAGTGGGTACCCCTGGATGACATATATACAACACTGCAATATTATCAGACATCTTTCATGGGTGCCAAGCAACATGGAGGCCTGCTTGTCCCTTGGAAGTTCATAAACATATTGGGAAAATGGAGCCCATAAAATGAAACTGCTGAAGGTCAGTGTGAGAGACTCAGTAATTGAAGAGTATTCAGGTGGATCAGTTGGCAAATGCTGTAGAAGTTCAATGGGGAGAGTTCAGTGGCCATCTTTCTGGAAACTGAGGTTTGCATGTTAACGTGAAGCAGGGGTCTCATTCTTTTTATTGCTAACCCATATCAGGAATAATTTGGGGGCACACCATCAGTAAATGTGTGGCTATTTTTGCTTGTTTATAAATTCTTTACCTGTGTTAATGTAATAAGTGAATATCTCAAGGCACAAAAGACATTGTTAATGACAGTGAATATAAGCCTTTATTTTAAATAACTATCTTAATAATATGATTTGCATAGTGGGTGGCTACCTTCTTGTCAGAGCTAATTCAAATTGTTTTGTTTGTGAAATCCTTGTGCCCACCTTATCTTGGAGTAGGGCAAGCATTAATTCTGCCATTTTCTTGTTGCTCACTTATGCTTCATTCTAACTTCTGCACTGAGGCTGCAATTTATGAAATGTGACCTGTTGAACTTTGAACTAACTGAGTGTCCAGAAAAGTCATGAGCCTGTACAAGGTTTTAACCAGAAGCAAAGGAAACACTAGCCCACTGAGAAAACTTAAAGGAATTGTAGAAGAACAAAATACAGTTGTTGATGATTACATCTCCCAAGTCAGGCCTATGAAGCAGACCCCTTACATAAGTAAAATTAGAGATTAAATATTTTCTACCTGCCTCCAAATGATTGCTGTGTGCATATGTCCATCCCAGTTTGCAAACCCCTCCTGAATGAATGTGTAAAGTTTGGATGGGTAATTGAAAGAGAAATTGCTTCCAATGAGGTTGATGGTTAAGAGCAAAGTCAGACACTAAAGGCAAATTCTGAAAGATAACACACTTTTTGAACACTCAGATGTGTTTCCAACGAATAAATCCATCATATTTTGCACAAGATGCCTATGTGCTGTGGAGCTAGCTGTCTGCCGACCCTGGCCTGGGATTCATTGAGGTTTCCTGTCCTCTAGAAGTGGAGGAAATAGCAGCACTGGAAAGCTATCTTTCCAGCTTTAAGCTGCATCACTGAGCCTTGAAAGTGACCTATCATCACTTATACCATATTGTACTGGTCACACAGACCAACCATGATACGATAGGAGGGGACCACACAAAATCATGAATACCAAGAGGTGGAGATCACGGGGGCCCTTCTTGGGGGCTGGCACCTGCCATGATGTAGGCATATTGCCAGCCCTATTCTACAGAAGAGGAAACTAAGGCTCTAATAAATAATTTGCTCAAGTCAGCTCAGCTTGCAACAAGCAGAGCTGGAGTTCAAACCCAGGCAGTGTGATCCCAGAGCACATCCTTTTTGAGCATTGCCTGATACCTTGGCCTTACCACAGGCCTTTTTCTACTTCCTTTCTTCCCCCTACTGCACAAAACATTGCTAATAAGGTGCATTTCCTTTTGCTTAGACCATTTCAAAAGTCATTGTTTCTTAAGGGTGGAGGTTGGAGGGTTTCCAAATAATGAAATACAATGAGAACATCTGGCCAAAGTACCTAATGTGAAATTAATTAATTAATTAAGAAAATGTAACATGCAGAGTAGGGATAAGAAGACCATTGACCCAACTTCAGAGCCTGACATTTACAAAAAGAACACAAAGCAGAGAGGGTTGTGTGCACATCCTGTTCAGTTCCTCTCCTTTGTTGTCAGTTTGTTGTCTAATGAGGCTGGGTACACTAAACTGTGCAAGATTTTGCTGAAATAAGTCTGCAAGTTTAGACCTTAAGAAACAAAAGCCAGAGTGAGAAACAATTTCCTATAAAATGGGGAACCATGGGATAACAGCTTCAAAATAGTATGACTGCATAGAGGGCAATTTATATCTAAGAAGGAATAGGACTGCATATGATATATAATGTTACTTGTATAAATGATCATGAGAAAGGTCAGGTTTTGTTGTTCTTTGGTTGTGACTCTTTTAATTAACCAAATTTGTACTGTATTACACTAAGCAAGTATAGACTATTTTTTGGTTGAAGTGTAATTGACATACAATATCATGTGAGTTTCAGGTATACATCATAGTGACTCAATATTTTTATGCATTTGAAATGAACCCTACAATAAGTCTAGTTACTGTCTGTCACCATACAATGTTATTACAATATTTTTGACTATATTCCCTGTGCTGTATATTATATCCCCATAACTTTATTTTAGAACTGGAAGTTGGGACCTCTTAATTCCCTTCACCTATTTCTTCCACCTCCTCCAACCCCTTCCTATTCTGGTGACCAACAGTTTGTTCCCATATATATGAGTCTGTTTCTGTTTTGTTTTGTTTCTTAGATTCCATATGTAAATGAAATCATATAGTATTTTTGTTTTCTCTCTCCAACTTATTTCACTGAATATAATATCCTCTAGGTCCATCCATGGTGTCACAAATGGTAAGATTTCATTCTTTTTATGACTGAGTAGTATTCCATTGTGTATATGTACAACCTTTCATTTATCCATTCGTCTGTTGATGGATACTTAGGTTGTTTCCATATCTTGGCTATTGTAAATAATGTTGCAGTGAACATAGGGGTGCATTTTTTTCTCTTCAAATTGGTGTTTTCATTTTCTTCAGATAAATATACAGCAGTGGAATTACTAGATTATATGGTTATTTCCATTTTTAATTTTTTGGGAAACTTCCATACTGTTTTCCATGGTGGCTGTGCAAGTTTACCTTCCCACCAACAGTGCACAAGAATTTGCTTTCCTCTGCAGCCTCCCCAACATGTATTTCTTGTCTTTTTGATAATAGACAGTCTCACAGATGTAAGGTGATATCTCTTTGTGGTTTTGATTTGCATTACCCTGATGATTAGTTTGAGCATCTTTTTATGTGTCTATTGGCCATCTGTATGTCTTCTTTGGAAAAATACCTATTCAAGTCCTGGGCTCATTTTTCAATTGGATTATTTTTTTTTTTATATTAAGTTGTTTAAGTTCTTGATATATTTTGGATATTAACCCTTTATCAGTTGCATGGTTTGCAAATATCTTCTC